TATTTTTAGAATCTATCTTAACATCAGTAACTAGGTCTAACAATTTATCCATAAAATTATAGTTAAATTTAAAATGTATCCTTTGGTATAAGAAATGGATTCCAGGTCCATGATTTCCTATACATGAATCTTTTCTGGTAGATACTGAAATTTAAAACCTCTCAAATTCTTAAGGTGCCTGGTGCAGTTATCAAGTTCATCACTTACTTTGTTGATAATTATTCATGAATTATTGGGCTGCTTTTCCCTTTCTTAGTATTTTGCCATTTATTAGTACTTGATGACCTAAATCCCTGCCATGATTAAGACGTCAGATTCCAGTGTCAGACGCCTGGGTTAAAATCTCTGTTCAGCCACTTACTACCTTTACACCCTTGAGCAGATTCCTTGTCCTCCTCATGCTCAGTTTCCTCATCAATCACATGCAAATTCAAGAGTACTCATCCCCCAGAGTTGTCATGATGACTACATGAGATAAAACATGTAAAACTCCTACAACAGTACCTGTCACGGAATAAAAGCTTGGGAAAAGTTTGTTGTTTTGTCACCATTACTGTTGTTATTGTTGTTATTTTAAGGATTTCTCAATTTTGCAGCAAACAGCTCTGCATTGGAGTGCCTACTATAATAACCCTGAGCATGTGAAGCTGCTTATCAAACATGATTCCAACATTGGAATTCCTGATGTTGAAGGCAAAATCCCACTTCACTGGGCGGCCAACCACAAAGATCCAAGTGCTGTTCATACAGTGCGATGCATTCTGGTGGGTACAGTGGTGCTGCTAGACCTGGATGGCCTTTCAAAAAAACTGTATTATGAAATATCCAATTTTTGCAAATCATATATATGACACACAAATTATGAAGCAAAAGAATACAACAAACATGTGAACTCATTACCCAAGAAATAGGACATTTTAACTACTACTGTTTAAGACCACATAGATGTTTCCTATGTGCAGGTTACCAAATGCATCCTCTCCCCCTGTACCATGCTCATTCCTGTCCCCCATCAACTACTTTTATGAATTTATATTTATCACATCCAACTTTGTTTTAGACTTGTTCTTATTAAATAACAAATAGATATAAGTGAATAGTTATATAATACATATAAGATACAAAGAATAAGGAGACAACAAATACTCATGTTCTCATCACTGAATTGAGGAGCCACGTGCATTACCATTGCCTTTGAGGTTCCCTGGGTACTTCCCAGTACCATTCCACTCTCTCCTTTCTCAGAGGTGGCCACTAGCTTCAATTTTGTGTTTATCATTCGACTGATTTTTACTGTAGTTCTGCCACATATATTGTATCCCTAAAGAATATATGGTTTAGTTTTAATGTTTTTGAATTTTATATACATAGAATCATATTGTGTGTATTTTGCAACATGCTTTTCTCTTGCTCAGTATTATGCTGGTGATTTTATCTATGTTGCTGTATGTAGCTGTAATATATTACTTTTTACTTCTATATGGTATTCCATGTCACGAATAAACCACACATTATTCATTCTGTTACTGACTGACATTTGGAACTATTTCTTTTTTTTTTTTTTTTTTTGCTATTTAGAAATAATACTGCTTTGAACTTATTCTTTTAGCATATCTAAGGTATATATTTAACTGGTTGTTGCAGGTGTATAGAATGCAACTGATAGTTTTGTCCATTAATTATATATCTAACCAACTTGCTATACTTTCTTAGTAATCTTGAGTATTTATCAGTAGATTTTTTTGAGGTTTTCTAGTCACTCCTTCCTAAATTTGAACTTGTATGCTATAGTAATCTAATTATTTGCTTATAACACACAAATTAGACTTTTAAAGATATTATTTTATTTATACAATGATAATTTATTTGCTTATAACACACAAATTAGACTTTTAAAGGTATTATTTTATTTATACAATGATAATTTATCTCTACTTGCATGTTATTAACTGATTTCTTTGCTCTGCATTTCTTCGTGAATCTCAAATTTTTCTTCTAAAGTTATTATCTTACCTCCTAAAATACAATTCTTAGAACTTCCTTTAGCGTAGATCTAAAGGATCTGGTGAACTCCCTGATTTTACTTGTTAAGAATGTCTGCATTTTACTGTGCTCTTGAATATATAGTTTTCTTGTATGCACAATTCTAGGTAGTTTCTCTTCTCAGCTCTCTCAGACTGCTGTTTTGCTGCTTTCTGTCTTTCATTGTTCTTCCTGAAGAGTTTGTGTTTGGTCTCATTGTCATTCCTTTATAGATGATCTATTTTCTCTCAGACTGCTTTTAAATTCTCTGTATGGCATTTTACAGCTTTACTGCAGTGTGTCTAGCTGTATGTTTTTTAATCCTGTTTCATATACATTCTGATGATTACATCTCAGTTTTGAAAAATATGTAGCTATTGTCTCTTTAAATATTGCCTCTCTTTCATTCTCTCTACTCCTACCTATAGGGTCTCCAATAATACATATTTTAGACCTTTCCATTTTACTTTCCATGCCTCTTAATCTCTCTTTCACATTTCTACCATCTTGTTTCTCTCTGCTACGTTCTGGGTAATTATACCTGATCTGCTTTCCAGTTTACCAAGCCTTTCTTCAGCTGAGTGCAATCTCTTGTTTACCTTATTCACTGAGTCTTTAATATTAGTGATTATATTTTCACCTCTAAGTTTTATTTGGTTGTTTTTCAGATCTGTCAGGTCTTCTTGATAGTTTTTGTTCCTTGCTCACCTTTTACTTCATTCTAATTTCTACCTGTTTCATAGATAGTTATTTTATGTTCTTTATGTGTTAATTCCAAGATCTGAAGTCCTTGGAGGATGATTCTTACTCATAATATCTTATTTCCTCACAAACTTGGCTTTTTTTCTCCTTCTTCTTCTCCTCCTCCTCCCCCTCCTCCTCCTCCTTCTTCTTTCTTCTTTTTTTTTTTTTTAATACATCTTAGTTCTTGGGAGACTCAAGGGCCTAGAATATCACTATGGTAATATTCTACTTCTTTTCCTGAGGTGTTTATAATACCTTTCCTACACTTTTTGGAAACTAGGCTAACTACATAGACATGTCTAAATCTGGGGTGGCCCTTCAGAGTTCTCAAATGGGGGTAAGAGGGCTTGGCTTTGGATATGACCTCATCTGAGAAGGGACCTGATGCTGGGTGAGGTAACTCTCTTTAGCTGAAGCAATTCAGGAGGCTGACAGTTGAGGGTCATCTGCTGGCAGCACGTGCAGCAGCTGGGGAAGTAAGTCCTTTAGTCTTGAAGGGGAACCTAAGCAGTGTATCATATCTACTACAAAGATCCAATAGAAAAATGAGCAAATGTTGTCAACTGTCAGTTTAAACCCAATAGCTAATAAACATATGATAAAAAATCTCAACCTCATTCATAAAAGAAATACAAATTAAAGCATCAATGAAATGCTTTTCATACCTATAAGGGGGAAAATGTGAGTTTGAGAATACTAAGTGGTTAATTTGTGCCAGCATGTGGGGAAATAAAAACTTTTACACATTGTCATGGGTGTGTTAATTAGTACAACCATTTGGAAAGCAGTCTGACAATACCTAGTCGAAGATGCAGATAGCCATCAACCCAACAATTTCCCTATGTAGGTCTCTGGGCTAGAGACAGATCTCACACATGTGCCATAAGGGGGCATGTAAAGAAGTGTGTTCACTGCAGCATTATTGTTAGTAGTGGAAAAAATGTAAATAACCTAAATGTCCCTCAGTAGCAGAATGGATAACTAAATTGTGGTTTAATACATGAACTAGTATCAACATAGACACCCAGATGTATAGTGTTGAAATAAAAAGTTCAAAAGTATAATGTTGAAAGGAAAAATTCAGGGATATACATGGTATAATGCACAAGTATAAATATTGAAAACACAAAATTTATCTATTGTTTACGGGTGTATACACTTGAAGCAAAAATACAAAGCATATGGCTTTAGTTGAATCCGTAACAGATAAAAAACACATTAGGCAAAATGTTGAGCTCTATTTAATCTAGATAGTTGCTTATTATATCTTTTCTGTGCTTCGTATATTTAAATATGAAAATAAAATTTTAAAGGTTTAGACTATATAATTTTCCCTGAATTTTATCACTTTGCTTCTGCTGAGAGAGGTTTCAAAAATTGCTCGGTTAATTATTATTTACATCACATGTGACTTATTGAGGATTCCATGTATGTCTGAAGTCTCTGGTTCCTTAAAAATAGGATGCTGCTCCAACAGAGTCTTTACTGAACTGGCAAGACTATGAGGGTCGAACGCCTCTTCACTTTGCGGTTGCTGATGGGAATGTGACAGTGGTTGATGTCTTGACCTCATATGAAAGCTGCAATATAACATCTTATGATAACTTATTTCGAACCCCACTTCATTGGGCAGCTTTACTAGGTGAGTTGAATGTGAAACCAGGGATCAACAGTAGGAGGAACGCATGAATGTAGGAAATTTTCCGTAGATTCTCTTCCACTGTCCTATTTAATTATTTTAATTTTTAATTGATATGTGGCTTTATACCTAAATCTCTCTATTGTATGCTTAAATTTTAGTAATATAAATGTATTCTATTATATATTAATTTCACCATCATGTTTTAACTTGTCATTTTTATTATAAAAGTAATGCACTTTCATTGACAAATTTAAATGTAAAATATTCTTCACATTCAATGACTTTGTTTTTTTGAAAGAGGGCTTTAATTTTGTGTATGCAGATACCATGATATTTGATTTTCTTTTCTTCATATTTCCTGATAAGCCTTTTACTTAACATTTTTGGGGATCACTTTTTTAGTAAGAGAGTATTATACGTATATGTGTCTGATTTTTGACAATCTAAGAGTCTTTTTCTTTTAGTGAAGTAGTCTTACCCATAAATAGTCATTGTTATAAGATGTATAATTTGATCTTTTTTCTGTTATTCTGCTCTTTGAGTATTATTAGTGTTTTGTTGTTTTTTCTCTTAATTTGTGCGTTTTTTTTCCTGTTTCCTTTGTTTTCTGTCTTGTGGTGTATGAATTACTTTTGTTGTTATTTGGTTTCAAATTGCCTAATGTTTTAGGATAGTCTTTAGGTTCTATTAAAAATTACTTTTAAATTAGAGGGGAGGGTATAGCTCAAGTGGTGGAGTGCATGCTTAGCATACAGGACGTCCTGGGTTCAATCTCCAGTACCTCCTCCAAAACTAAATGAATTAACTTAATTACCTCCCCCTCCCACTCACCAAAAAAAAACAAAAAGAAATTACTTTTAAATTTACTGAAAACTTTAAGCCTAAGTCAGAGTCAAGAGTAAAGCTGTAGGGGGAGGGTATAGCTCAAATGGTAGAGTGCATGCTTAGCAATTCCCAGTACCTCCATCGGGGAAAATTAATAATAATGATTATGATAATGATTAATAATAATAATAATAATAAATAGACCTAATGACCTCCCCCCAAAAAAGAGCAAAACTGCATCTATTGATTCCTACCTATTTAAAATTGAGGAATTTAGTACACTTTCACTTATCAATCTTTGGATATGTGTTAATATAATCTGATAATGATTATTAATTAGTATTAATAGTTATTAATAAATAACTATTGTGGACTTAGTTTTGAAATTACACATTGTCTCTTTTTTAAATGATTCTTACATTTTCATTCAGTTTTATAGTCAGATTTGTAATTATTATTTAGACTTCATTTCAACATGCAGTTTCATCCTTTTTTCCTTTTCCTCTGCATTCTAGGAGGACTTTGTAAATTTGTCTCCACAACACTAAATTGACTTTCTGTTCCATAAGTTCTGCTTTCTTTTTGCCTCCTATAGATTGTATTTTAGGTTATATATTTTTTGTTGAAGTATAGTTGATTTACTGTGTTGTGTTAGTTTCTAGTGTATAGCATGGTGATTCAGTTATATATATTCTTTTCCATATTTTTTATTATAGGTTATTCCAAGATATTGAATATAGTTCCCTGTGCTATACAGTAGGTCCTTGTTGCTTATCTATTTTATCTATAGTAGTTAGTATCTATAAATCCCAAACTCCTAATTTATTCTTCCCCTCCTTTCTCCTTTGGCAACCACAGGTCTGTTTTCTATGTCTGTGGGCCTGTTTCTATTTGTAAATAAGTTCATTTGTGTCATTTTTTTTAGATTCCACATACAAGTGATATCATATGATATTTGTCTTTCTCTGTCTGACTTACTTCACTTAGTATGATAACCTCTAGGTCCATCTATGTTGCTGTAGTTGACATTATTTCATTCTTTTTTATGGCTGAGTAGTATTCCATTATAAATTTCCTTCTCTCATCAATATTTCTTTTTATCTCAGCTTTTTTCCTTTTTACCTCCTTTCATTACCTTTTCATTTCAGATTATCTTTTTCTTAGGATATTCTGTTTCACTTTATAGAGTCCATCTCTTTGCACAAGTCAAGGATGCCAAATATTGCCTGAAATTTTCCTCTGGATCCTTCTCTAGATCATGTTCTGAGGTATGCTATTCTTTCTGATGGTGTTCCTTTTTTCCCTGTCCTATAGTATGTTTTCATATAGCCTTTTCTGAATTTTTCTCTTTATCTTTCAAATAAGATGATATATATTTAGATTAACTATGTGGCATAGATTGCCTTTGATCCTACCTTTGGTCATTTGTGTTATGGAGAACGCCATCTCAGACCATGGCTGGAAAGCAGGTAGAGCATGACTCCCACTTAAATTCCTTTTTTCTGCCTAGCTTTCATGCAGTGTATTCTTGTTCTACTAACATGGCATCTTCTTTATTGCCTGGTTCCCTATATACGGAAGCAATGGCATGTATGAAATTCAGGTTTCCTAAACATACTATTACCAAGCTTGTTCATTCTTTGATCCTTTTAAAGTTCTTTACTTGTGGAGACCACATCCTCCAGAATGCACTGCAGAGTATTTTGTTATACCACCACCACCTCATCATTCCTGCCCACTTGTTTTCTGAGATTTGAAATCACTGCCTAGATGTTAAAAAATTGGAGGAGGGAGGTTAGAAGGAGTGGATGGGAGACCTCAGAGGTTACAAGAAATTGTATTATGGTTTGTCCTCCTGAATCGCAGAAGAGACCAGCTGTGCAGTTCTCATTGGTTGTGCAATGAAGCCTAGAGTCTAGGGACACCGATGGCTGAGAGGGGCTGGCTTCTACACACCTTCCTTCCCTTTTTGTGAGCAGTTTTACAAGGTGAAGCCAGAGAATGCAGTGAGCTAATACCTAATATAGTTTTTTCTCACCTGGCAGTTGTAGTTAGTCATTTTCTTCCTGATTGAAGTATCAAGTTTTTAGTGTTGTACATTTTTGCCTTTGTGCTACATAATTACAGTATTTTTGTGAGAAGCCACTATTTCAAAACCATTGTAAATACTGTATTATGTGCTGGTGATCTGTCTTACCCCTTTCCTTTAAATAGATTATAAATTACTCAGTCATTTTATGTGATAACTACCTTGTGTCTTCTTCAGGCCATGCACAGATTGTCCATCTCCTTTTAGAAAGAAATAAGTCTGGAACCATCCCATCTGACAGCCAAGGAGCAACACCCTTGCACTATGCAGCTCAGAGTAACTTTGCTGTAAGTAAATCACAACAATTATCTTTCTTTAATTAAAATTTTATTTTGATATTCATATGCAGTTGTAAGAGATAAAACAAGACCCCATGTACCTGTCATCCAGTTGTTGTGTGTGTTGCGAGTAAAAAGAGTGCTGTGATTTAACCGTGGATTGTACTCCTGCGGCTGTTCCTAATACTTGTATGACCTTGAGCCTAAATTTCATCTGTAAAATGAGGGGCTGGATTAGATGAGCCCTTAAATGTTTTCTTGCTCTAAAATATTGAGGATCAACATTTTATACCTTTTTTGACCAACTCACAACCTCCAGAAATTTTTTTTCTGAAACTATTTTATTTCCACTCAAGCAAATTTTCTATGATCTTCCTAAAAGTTTGTAAGCATCTGAGTTTTGAGGAAAGATGCAATTTTAAATGCTATGAATATTAACCCCAACTAAAATTATCAAACACTATAAGAATTATTAAGAGTCCTAATTTTTGTATGATTACTTAGAGAAATGACCTTGAATGTAGGAATTGCTGATTAAATATTTGTTTTAATGGATTGAATACTGCATTTCTCAGTAACCACCTGTCACTTTCAATAAATGCACTAATTATTTTTAAAACTAGTAACAAAACTCACAGTGAGAGAATGTATTAGCCTTCTCTGAAGTTAGGTTTTAAACTTAAT